TTTTTTTTTTATTTTTACTAAAAAATTCCTAAAAAATGCATTATTTTTTAAAGAATTTCTGGCTGTACAACGGGTTAGCATTTTAAGCCGCACATTTTTTTAATCAAAAAATTATCTTGATTTTTTTTTTTTGCTGATCATATGTGTTTGTGTTGGTTTTGTGTTTCATAGGATCAGCGTGTTTTAGGCTTTGCATTGTGTTTTAAAATAATTTCATCGATAGGTCTGTCTCTTTAGATTTTTCGTAGAATACCAATTAAACATTTTATCATGATTCACATATTTGTGTGAATGTGAAATATCTTTCTTTTTTTACATGTCTGAAAATCATTTTCACATCAGTGGTGGCGCATCCAATATCGGCAACCTGGCTCTGCTAGCTGATTGTTCCCGTTGGCAATTATCCCTCAGCTTATGCCTCCTATATTTCCCAGAGGGCAGAACAGGAAGGATATTTTTTCTTTGATTTCGCTAAATGTACCATTAAATAGCCTTTTGCGCTTCATTTTACAAATTTTTTTAAACGGAAATGAGCAATTCCCAACTAGTTCTGCTGAATTCTGTAGCCCTTAATCGTAGACGGTTCCAGGGGGCTTCCTGGGAGAGGAGAGTAGGGGGCCGACGGGGGGTGCAAAAGAGAGTTTTCTTTAGTTTTATCTTTCGACCCGAACTTTTGTAGCACTAGTATCTGTGCTGCGAAAGGCCCATCGTCCCTCCCCCTCCCCCTTTTCTCTGAATCCGCCTATGTTCTCAACTGCATTTTTTTTAAAAGTTGCATGTGACGATCCCCAGACATTTACCGATCTAAATCAGGTTTGTAAATTTTATGGGAGAACATTCAACCCCTTGCCCAGGAAAGTATTCTCGAAGAGCGAATTTTCGTTTTCTTAGCAATGCAGATTTATTTAAAAAACTCTCCCCCACATGACATTAATCCCACTTTTCAACACGTATAGTACTCTATTATCGCCAATTTTTCATTGGGCAAGAGCGCCTCTTCCAGAAAACGTCACTACTGATAACTGCCTTACACAACCTGATGATCAGAATCGAGTTACTAGAAGTGAAGGCCTTTTGACACTGTTCAATTCGATCTGTGCGCGTAGCTGGCAACAATCGTTTCGAAGTGAAATTATTTCGGCCAGCAACTCGGAACGCTTTTTTTCTTCTTTTCGGCATTCTTCCAGCCAGTAATTCTCATCGTAATCTTCATCCATCACTTCTTTTCTCAATGCTTTTGGATTCTCCTGAATGTATACAAGAAATGCTCTAGTGATAAAGATTTTTTGTTGACTGTTCTTGTTTCGTTCTGTGGTTCTAATAGGGGTAAACCCAGGTTCTAAAAATGATTCCCCCGGATAAAAGTGGTACCCGTGGGTCCTAAAAGTGATATCCTCGGGTTCTAATAGTGATACCTCCAGGTAAAAATGGTACCCCTGGGTCTTAATAGTGATACCCCTGAGTTCTAATAGTGATACCCCCGGGTAGCAGTGGTACCTGCGGGCCCTAATAGTGGTACCCCAGGTTCTAATAATGATTCTCCCGGGCTCTAATAGTGGTACTCCCGGAAAATAGGGAAATTTCGCGTTCTGATAATGATACCCTCGGATAACATTGGTACCTGCGGATTCTAATAGTGATACCTCCGGGTTCTAATAGTGGTGACCCCCAGGTAATAGTGATAATCCTGGGTAATAGCGATAACCCCGGGTTTTGGTAGGGATGTTTCGTCTTTTTGATCATTTCCATCTGTTTCTGTCTGTCTCCCAAAAAAATGAAATATAGGACAACTACTAATAAAACATACCGATGAAGGGAGGAAAAAGTGGGAGAGAGGGGGAGTATTTTAAAACAGGAAAACATTCCATACATTTTATAGGCTAGTTTTCGCACTGTGTCTGCCATAAAAGCTAATAGCTAGTGCTTGAGGCAGGAAATGATCTAATATGCGGGAAGTAAGACTTCCTGTCCGTTTTTCCCTCACTCCTATTTCAACCACCACTTTTTTAAGATTTGTATTTCACTGTGGGGTTCGGTCGCCGCATTTCCACCTCCCTTCTCACAGCAGATCTCATTTGAAAGAAACTTTTATAATTTACCTCAATGATAGCTCTTAAACATCGATCCAGTGCAATTATTTCCGACTTATGTCGCGCAATATCTTCGCGCAAAGCTGTACAGGCGGCCAGCAATTGCTTCTCTTCGAGCATCTCTAGTGTCGGCGTTGGAATTGCATCTTCTCGTTTCTCCATCTTCTCGGCCTTCTGCATGCGGATACACTTGAGCTACAATGAAAAGTCGCTCAGATCACAAAAAATTAAGGGAGGACTTCCCATGCTCCAAAAAGACGTAGGCTGTCGACTGGTATCAGCATGAGCCCCCGGGAAAGCAGAGTAATGTTACACTCGAAGATCGGAGGTCTATGTGGAGTTCTGGACATAAAGCAACTTCACAGGGTGTCAGACTGGAAATGTTGCCAGCTGCTTCGATGAACGACGAAGCAACAGCTGCTCAAAGTTCAAAATGACAGCCGTCCCAGCAGGTACTGCAAAAAAAACGTCCAGTGCATTGACGCGGATTAGTCGATTTCACTGGGGAGCGTCCAAAGGCCAAATCAAATAGGCCATTTTTCCTGGCCTTACCTATTGCCTTCATTCCAATTACACTTGCTATGTTTTTTTCCCCTTGTCACGTAATAATTAATTGCTAGTGATAATAATGACATTAATAACAATAATGATAATAATGGTGGTAATAATATTGATAATAATGATAATAATAATAATGATAATAATAATAATGATAATGATAGTGATAATAATAATAATAATAATAATAATAATAATAATAATAATAATAATAATAA